AAATCAGCTGATTACAATCAGCTCATAGATAAAATAATGAACGGAGACGTTTAGCAGAGATAGAGGTAGCAAAACTCACTCGTTTGGAAAAACTATCGGATCGTTTTTGATTTTCCGATGCAGCGCAATCACATATGCATCCCAGAAAGGCACCTGAAAATTATTTTGTATTAGAAATGAAATGGGATTTTGTTAGCGAAGACATTTATTTGTGGAGCGTGGCGTGAAGAAGAGGTAACTCCCTCCCCGTCCCCGGAAAATGTCATACTTTTGAGAAATACCACATACATGTTAGATTGTGAATAATCAAAATGTTCTTAAATTTCAAAAATCAAATTAACCTTGTAAAATTTCGTTTATACGCCCTCAACCCTTCGACATCCCCCAAAAAATGTTCGGAATGCTAATGTTCTTCGTTCGATAATTTCTTTTCAAATAACTTTGTTTCAAAAAAAAAACTCCGTGGGAAACTTTGACAAAGTGTGCTAGAGAGTCATAATACTTCAGAGATGAGTGGAAGTTAGAGAAAATTGACAAAAAAGAATAAAAGAGATTAGAAGAGAAAACAAAAAGAGTGTAATCGATAGAAAATGTTTGTGGAGATTTTTCGAAAAAGACTTGAGTTTCAGTAACCTTTGTCAAAAAAATCTACAAAACCAAAAAAATGTTATAAACGACGAAAATGACTTGAACGTAATCCAACAGCTTACCTTTCCTATCACAAATGCATAAAGTGTTATTCCTAGCGACCAAATATCTTGAGCTCTACCAGAGTAAAAATGATTGGAACCCTCTAAAATAAGAAAATAATCGTGAAAACTAGGAGTACCTAAGCTTACCTGTTAGCGCTTCGGGAGCCATAAATGCTGGAGTACCGGCAGTTCCCGACAGAAATGCGTCAATGCCCTCGAATTCGCACGAGACACCAAAATCGGCTATCTAAAAACTGATTCTGAGATCATTTCTCCAATTTCATGACTTTCACTGTAGGAACCCTACAAAGGGATGGGGTGAGGGCGGTATAGAAAACGCCACCCTATTTTTTCGCCCGTTTAGAAATCAAGAAC